GTAAGAATATAATTCATGAAATACAAATACAATATATAATCTATATCTATTCTATTGTAATGATTCTGTCCTGCTGGAGTGTGACATGATTTGTTTGTGTACAAACTAATACACTATCAGAGTTTTATATATTTATACTTCTCATTCAACCACAGTTAAATTCACTCTATCTAGGAGGCTCAGTTTATATGGATAGTTTTTATTTTTTACAACAACAAGCTGCAATGAAAACATGAAACAATGAAATAAAAGAAACAAATGTATACTTCTTGTCTTTTTTTAATGTAAGGAGTAAAAAGTATGCTGAAAAATAATTACTCAAGTAAAGCACAGATACACAAAAATTCTACTTAAGTACAAAACATTTCTACTTAGTTCCAGCTCTGCAGTGTTGCCACTATGAAGGCCCCCCCTGCTCCTCCTCCTCCTCCTCCTCCTCCTCCTCACATTCTGACACTTGTTCTCCTCCTCTCCTCTCATGGCCCAGGCCAGGAGCTCAGGCTGGTCTCTGGGTTTTACTCCACTCTTCAGTATAAGTACTCATCATGTAACATTGGACAGAGTGTTTAGGAGCCAACAGATTTCAAAATAAAAGCGTGTCAGAGGTTTTATCAGGTCTGTTATTAGTGACTTTCATGACACAACAGTCAGTTTTAACACTATAATCTGCTGCAGCATGGACTGTCATCTAACTGTTCTTTTATTTGTTACAGATCAGTTACATTTAAACACGGTTTGGAAAATAAAAGCTGTGATTTATCTTTACTATAATAAGAACAGGTGCACAAGATTTATGTTGTTCAGCTATGTGAACGTAACCAAAAACATTTTGTTTTAAGACATAAACCTTTCATCGTTAAGCCTTTATTTACCCATAATTCATAGCATCGTAGAAGAAACAAACCTTTACTTGAAGTTTTAAGCTAACCTCAGTTTTTCTGCTGTTAGCCTCCAACTTTAAGAAATAAAACCCACTGTTAGGACGAAATAAATCTGAATACCTGTTTGTCAACTTGAAGGAGGAAACACGTATCAAATCGCGACAGAAAACTCCTCACAAAGACAGTTAATTGTCTGGAAAGTCTTGTCTGTCTGGGTTTTATGTTTTTATTTTTATTTTAGCCGAGAAGAAGAATCCAGAACCGTAAAAAGTTACCTCTTTTCTCCCGAAAATCCTCCCTCTTCCTGCTCCTCGTCGTACGGTGAAGAAACTTCAAATGTTTCCACAAACATCCATCAAAGTTCACGGGAAAAGAAGAACTCCCACGCAAATCACCTCAGCTGCGACAGTTTCATTGTGACGCTGCTGGAACTGCAACCTGTTACCTTTTGTTGAGCTCCAATGGTCCCGCCCACCGCTGACGAAACGGAGCTCCGCTATTGGTCTTACAATTTAAAAAGGGGCGGGATCTCTGAGACTGGCTGCACTTAGTTATTGGTCAATTCTCAACGTCTGTCACTAATTATTTATGAAGGGCCATTTTCAGTCTGTCTTTTTGCACTTTTGATCAAATAAAAACTACTT